GATTAAATGTAACGCAAATAAACAGTGCATAATACATTGAAGTTCGAGGCCAACATATTATAAATTCCAGAACTTATTCGAAATACAACCAAAAAAGACTAAAGTATAACCAAAGCCGGCCGAGAAATATAAAGCATTGTATGTGACTCAATTTAATATTGTTTAAATATATAATGTGAACTATTTCATTGTATTTCAGCCATTGAGAAACTAGATTTATGCATCTGGATATTGGATGTCCATGTTCGATTCCAATCTGATTATAAAACAGATCCTGTATACAATGATCTGAAAACACTCAATTCTACTTTCTGTTCTAGAAATTATACAATATATAAATCCGAAAAAAAAACAGAGGATCTCGAAAGGTTTTTGAAACAGAAAGTAGATACTTGTTTGTAAAAGCATGGACACATGATCTGTATTTTAATCAGAATGTGTCCAGTTCGGAATCAAGCAGCAGGGTCTGGTCCACCTCTGACTACACCAAAGATTATGTCCAATTCGGAATCTGACAGCAGGGTCTGGTCCACCTCTAGCTACACCAACTTGGACTTGTATTGAGATCCTCCTCCTATCCTCACAGCTGCATTGCAGTTATTTGCGATGTTTCTACAATGTTGCCTCTTGTTCAATGCCACATGTCTACACGCATTTCGTATGTCTTGCGGCAATCTTAAATCGCAGTTTTTCCTGTCATGGCTACAATGTGTTGCTTAAAATTTCACCATAATCACATTTTACTTTATATCCTGATGTGGATAGGGTTTAAAGAAGAGAAAATATTGGACGAGGAGTTCAGAATGAAGATTGTAAAAATACATGTTAGAGAAATAAAGGTAAAAATATAGATAATAGAGAATAATGGACATAATAGATAAGGCTACAGAAAATTTATTTTGATAAGAAAAAATAAAGAATAAAAAAAAAACATACTCACTTATATACATTGGACTAGTATCTAAAATGAAATCCCTTTTACCTAATTTTAATATCATATCAGTATTTCATTTTCCTTCCGTAACAATGGTTGCTGTTTGTATCATGATTTCCTCATATGTTCATTGGGTTTTTTTGTGTTCGTGAGGTTCGTGTTGTTGGTTTTCTTATTTATTATGTTTAGCGATGGGTTTTTTCGTGTTTATTGTCGGAAAATAAACCATTGATCCAGGATTTCGGTGTATTTGAGCTGTTCATCCCATGGAAAGCTTTACTGACGCCAAAATGAATCTTTTTTTTTCTTCTTTAAATAGGCAAAATTAACCATAAGCTCAACCTGATCAGCTAAAAAAAAGATAATAGATCATAATACCATACTCCAAATTGTTTATGTCATTCGTGCGTTGTACATCGTAGTAACGGATTCTATTATAAAATCTATAATATATGCTCCTTGTTTATTTGTACTATGGTAAATTTGTGTATTGTTGTCTTTAATTTTGCTAATAAGCTTGGTCTATAAGCCATTGTGTGCTTTTTTGTTATATATGTGTTTGTTTTATAGCCATTAAGATTATAACATAATGTTGACTGCTGTACACCTATTTTTTTTACATTTTTACCTTTTATGACTGTTTTGTTTTCTTCACACATCGTTGTCATTATAATTGAATTTGATCCAACTGTCATACAAGTGAGAGGGTAAGCTAACCCAGGTTTAATTCACCATTTTGTACATAAGACAATGCCTGTACCAAGTCAGGAATATGACAGTTGTTATCCATTCGTTTGAGCTTTTAATTTTGACATCTGATTGGTGACTTTCTTTTTTTCTTAAGCCGTTTGAGTGCGTTTACGCGGCAATTAAATGGCACAAAAAAGCAAAAATTCAGCTCCACTATGTACGAAATTTATAGATATCAAGTGAACAATCATTATTAATTGTTTTTGAGGTATCAACATTCTGGGTTCGTTTAGGTTAAGGTAGTAAAGTCGCCGTAATCAATGCACTTTTGAGAAAATCGAAAGTATCACAATTTTATACAAATAACTGTCAAATGCCAAAAATTTCTTGAAAAGGTTTACAAGTCCTTTCCAGTCTTCCGAAGTCTTTGTTAATTCAAATGCTGATTTTTGTGTTTATCGACAGTTCAAATTCCGCGCTTAAGAAAAAAATTAATAGATATTAGAAGATTTCTGTAACAGTGAATATAATACAAAAAAAGTCATGTATGCTGGACCGGCAAGTTTTAATAATTCAATAGACACACATGGTTATTCAGGTCTTTAAAAATAAGTAGTATATTTTTCCTGACTGAACTTACTCTCATAAAGTTGACATTGCTGGACATTAAAACGAAAAGTGAACTTCTCATGTGAAATTTAAACCGTTTAGGAAATTTTCAAAACAGTGTCGCGTTAAGTTAAAGTACTAAAATTGATGAATGAAAAGGGTTATATGTTATCGTCAATGAGACAGCAAAACAAACAACAAAATAATAAAAAAAAAACTTTTAGAGGTATTTGGGCCAATGTGATCATTTGGAGGAAAACATTTAGATTTCGCTTTTGAACCTTATCGAACAAAAAGCTTCAGAACTGAATACAATCGATGCAACCAAAAAATTATTTAGTAATAGTAACATGAGTAATTCATTGTCAATTGTTTTAGAAATTTCTTAAGATCAATATGTTCTATTGTAACTCACATAGGGACTTAAAGATTTTTTTCAAATTTACATGTGGATTCTGCTTGTAAAAATGCATTAGAAAATAAAATATGAAAGCGGGTAACTGTTTCCGTTTTTCAGATACAAGCTGTTGTATTTAACAGCATCATACACCAACAATGCAAAGGATAATGTATAGAGGGAAAATCATAAAGATCGGCAGATATTTTTACTTTTTAGTTATCAAGATTTTCTAATTCGTTGACCCACAGAAGCTCTTTAGAAATTTAAATGCGATTTAAAATTGAACGACGAATCGATTAGTGCGAAAAAGTTCATTAGCAACCGTCCTAGTTTTCAAGCTATATCCTCTGAAAGTTTTACTTTTAGCGGGAAAAATACAAAGTATTCGGCGATGTTATTCATGTTTTTTGTAACGTAACCACACATTCTACTCTATAATGCTATTTTACCGTACAATGTGTATTACCTATTTTCCTAAAGCTAATTATTACAAATGCTCAAGCGTAATCTATTGATAAGGAAATAAACAGAGTAATTATTAAGGATATTTCTGCTAAAAAAAACGCAAATTGGCAAATAAATATATTGTAAGAAAGTTACTGTTCAGACTTTTACTCAATCCTTTCTGAATTAAACAGAGTTCCACATCTTTTTTTAAATTTTTTTATTGTTCTACTTATTATGAACCAAATATCGAGTCTGAAATTGTTTCGGTGGGCATAATATTGAAAGAATGATTCTATACATATCTAAACATTTGGATATAATATTGGATCCCGTATTCATGTTTTTTTTTAATCTTATTTCTGCGTGTTTGTATTTGAAAAAGTCGATATAATTTTCTGCATCTTTTCATTCACACTATTTTCGTCGCTATTCTGTGTGTTGCGTATACAACCCATTCAGTTCACACAACTGCACATGACACAACTGCAATTTTATTTTAAAATTTCCTGATTCGATCGCTTTCCCTTTTCCTTTTCCTTTTCTTTTACTACACGACAAAGCATGATTTAATGTTTACTGGAAGTTCATTAACAAAGGTAATAATTGCCGAAGTTGTACTATCATTTATCTTATACCCACATGTAAGACTCCCAAAGAAATAAGAAAACTTCGTCCGTATTTTATCTTGAGAGTTTTTATGGCTGTGATAAAGTCAAAAGAAGAACCTGAATATGACTTTCAGCAAAATAAAACTGATCAGAGTTTTGATATAGCTTACCGGTTCACAGATTATTCCCACTTTTATGCCTTTGTATTGTACATATACTGTAATGTTGTACCGTGGTGTAGTGCTATAAATGTACTAGTGTAATGATATTTATGTACGGATTAAATGCTATAAGAATGTACCAAGGGCAATGTTATGAGAATGCATTCTTTACCAAGATTCTAAAAATTGCACCTAGTATAATTTGGTAGTATGTACCTAGTGTAGTGCAAGGAGACTGATCATAGTGTAATGATATAAGAGTTTACCTTGAGTATAGTGCCATACAAATTGTGCCTGTATATACTAGTAATGCAAATAAATTGTTTTTTTATATAATATAAAAAATAAGGAGATGTGGTATGATTGCAAATGATACCACTATCTTCCACAGTTTTATAAGGTAGCTCGAAAAGGTTTTTTTTCTGAACTTCCTTTCTGGTAATATTGCAAAAAAAACCTTTTTTGTTTTAAAGATATTTCACCAAGTTTATTAAATATACAACAAAACACCTAAAACAAATTAAGTGTCGTAGAGTATATTTAAATACATTTGGGATTTTTGAAAATAAAATACTGCATAAACACGTCTTTCTAGTACACATGATGCTTCATCACACAAGTTCACATGCAATAGTTAACGATACACTGACACTGTGTCTATGATCTTTCAAATCTTTGTTTTTTCCAAGAAAATATTGTTGGGTCAATTCTCATATGTTTATTTGGTTATAATTTTGTTTTTACTAACTGTTGAAATACACAAGAATCGTACTGTATACCTATCCCTACGTGTCTAAAATAAAAACAGTGGTAAAAAAATTGAGTCAAACTAACACACAATAGGCTGCTTCAATTTCTGATTTGTGAAGTTCGGATAACTTCTTTGAAGTTTTGAGATAGCACAGTAAACTTGTTTGGATTCACGATATATCTCACATTGACATTTCTCTGTAATGTGCCAATTTTTCCTTTCTTTGAGTAGACAAGATAACTCGAGTAACTAGCGACGCACGTTTTTTGTCCTAAATTCCGCTAGAGGCGTGCAATTACGTATACTTAACCCAAAGGTGAAATATAAAGATTTAATGTGTTACGTTTTTAAAGGTACTTAGTATACATCATGTGACATACAATTGGAAGATATCATGTGACGTATTTCTTCCTTGTTATGAAGGCTGATAAATGGTTCAAGTAAGATTATGATTTTTAGTTAATATTGTATATATAATTTTGACATATTGCAATCGAAAGACTCATAAAATCTTTCATCGGGTTCTAGAGAAATGACTTTATTAATTTAAACTTATTTTAAAATGTTTATAAGCATTATAGGGCCGCAATTTTTTGGGTAATGCAATTGTAATAAAAATAACAAAAATGTAAGCAATGGATTATTTGATAAATGTTTATAACAAGCAATTGATTTTATTTGAGAATATATATATATAATATCATTAGATTTTTGTTTATAGTACAACTAATCTAATTTCAAGTTCTCGATCATGTCGAAATAAATGTAATACGGGAAAGGTATAAAATGCTATTTATATGTTATACTGAACAAAGAAAATTTTGCACTATTTTTTACGATTAATTGTTTTTCAAAGATGAATTCGACTTATATTTAAAAGCATTTATTTTGTCTTAAAAAAAAGTAAAAAGAGCGGAATCAGCTGCAATCAATATCAAGAATAAAGTAGACATATCTAGTTATAATAGCAAAGTTTAAATGGTATTGAAAATCTATACTTAACTAAGCAAGTTTTGCGCCATTTTTTAATTTAGGATTGTAATTAATGAAGAATGAACAATTGAATCGGACTTCCGCATGTAACTTCTAAGCCATAATACAATTAGTAGTAGTGTTTCCTCAAAAATCAAACGGTAAAATTTATTAATACAACTAAACAATACAAATAGTATAGAAAAATAGTGGGATGCTAAAATATAGAGTATACACAGCTACTATAGTACCAGTAATCTTTATGTACAGTTTTAAAGATGTATATAAACTGTACATCTGTAAACCTATATATAAACTTAACATCTGTAAAGCTGTATATAAACTGTACATCTGTAAACCTGTATATAAACTGTACAGCTGTAAACCTGTATATAAACTTTTCATATGTAAAGCTTTATATCAACTGTACATCTGTAAAGCTGTATATAAACTGTACATCTGTAAAGCTTTATATCAACTGTACATCTGTAAAGCTGTATATAAACTCAACATCTGTAAAGCTGTATATAAACTGTACAGCTGTGAATCTGTATATAAAGTGTACATCTATGAAGTTGTATATATACTGTACATCTGTAAAACTGTATATGAACTGTTAAATTGTTTACAAACTGTAGATAGATATCGTAACACACAAGATACAGTGGTAGAATCTATATGTAAAGCTTATACAGATTTAAAAGTGTGCAGTTAATATTTACAGAGTTGCAGTTTATGTACAGCTTCAAAAATGTACAGTTAATATACAGTTTTACAGATGACAGTATATATACAACATAAGAAAACGAGAAAAATGGTATAAAAAGTTGAAAATAAAGAAATGAAAGACTCCAATTCCGACCCTCATAGACATCTGCTTAAAGTGGATGTCAGCTCGAGTATATTGCCTAAAGTACAAATTCTGAAATCCTTGCGGTGTCTGTTTTCGTTATTTTGTGATGAAAGTAAGCTGTCTAGTGATTATGTAGGCCAGACACGCTTTTCGTCTAAAGACTCACCAGTGACGTTAACAAAAAGGTCAAACAAAAACAATGTTAAAGAACATTGTGGACCCAAAATTTCAACAGTTTTTGACAGATATGGAAAGCTTGAACACCGAATCTGTATCTAAATCAGATTAAAAACTATTTCCAGGGTAGAATATTTTTTAGCATTTAAAAAAATTCAAAGTTTTGTTACGATTTCAATAACTCATATCAACATGATTATCTGACCTCTAGGCAAATGACAAATTAATGTCATTTTCTTATTCATTCCCCACTGTTGTTATTAATTAACTCCTGTAGATGGTTTGTCTCTAAACTTTTGCCGTTTTTTTTCTGTTCTTAAATCCTTTAGGTATCTGTTTTCGTTATTTAGTGGTGATGGTTAACTATCTTGTGTTGTTTATGGAACAGTGTACTGTCGGGAAGCAATTGATGTGTTGTGAGTGTTTTTCTAGATTTTTCTTTATTGACAGTATTCAACAAAACAAGTAGTCAGCTTCCTGTAGTAGCGATTAGAGTTAACCATGTTTTAAAAAACCTTTGCTATTTATCTAATGTGTATTTTCTAGCGTTCATCCCGTCTGAACCTTGATAAAGACGGTTTTGTGCCTCTATAAAATTGAGAATGGAAATGGGGAATGTGTCAAAGAGACAACAACCCGACCATAGAGAAGACAACAGCCGAAGGCCACCAATGGGTCTTCTATGCAGCGAGAAACTCCCGCACCCGGAGACGTCCTTCAGCTGGCCCCTAAACAAATATGTATACTAGTTCTCTATGTCTATCTGGACTTAACATTAGTCATATTTATTTATTTATGCTTCTTTATTTTTGGAGGGGACAGGTGTTGGTTGTTAGTGTGGTCAAATATTTTGGAGGAGTCGGGTGTTAATTGTTAGTGTTATTAGAAGGAGTCAGGTATTTGTAGTTAGTATTGTCGGAAGAGTCGGGAGTTGGTTGTAAGTGTTGTCGGAGGAGTCAGTTGTTTCTTGTAAATGTTGTCGGGGAGTCGGTTGTTTGTTGTAAGTGATGTCGTAGAAGTCAATTGTTTGTTGTGTGTGTTGTCGGAAGAGTCGGATGTTGGTAGACAGTGTTTTCAGAGGAGTCGGGTGGGGCTTGTAAGTGATGTCGTCGGAGTCAAATGTGGGTGGTAAGCGTTGTGACATGATTCGGTTGTTGGTTGTCAGTGCTCATTTTTTTTTGTCTTTAGTGCCTTGTGGAGAAAGTAGAGTGCCTCCCCGTGCTCCAGGTGTATGCTCTTATAATATACTAGATTATGGAGTGTGTGTCCTAGCGAGAACTTCTCTATGTTCATTACTTTCGGAATATTTATCTTAAAGTAGTATTTTAATATTCAGCCCCATTCTACTATTTAGTCAGACGTCAGTCGCTACCCTGATATACCCTATGTTTTGTCGGGTAATTTATGACGGATAGCGTTTGACGTCTTTAGCCGCACAGTTTTATCCTTTTCACATAATTTAATTTATTACGTACTGGTTCATATTCTGGACGCCAGTCTTTGCTCCTTTCTAATAAAATCCACATAACAAAAAAAAAAACAAATATAAAGCTTAGAAATGGAAAAATATTAAATTCTTTACTCGTTCAAAAAGTAGCTACACGTCTCAATCTTCAAAATCGCTTATCTAAAAATACTACTATCGCTAACATTCTTAACAATAAAAATCGTGGTTACCCTTCTATCGATAAGTGTAATGCCAAAATATGACTTACATGTCCCCGTCTTTCCACCAACAATACGGTAAGGTCAACGTTTAATGGTCGCACGTTTTCTTTAAATTTTGAAACTGAATAACTTGAAAAACAAACAGTTTTATCTATTTACTCACATGAAACAAACCGGGATGCAGTTTTCAGTACGTAGGTGAAACTGGACGATATTTATCTAAACGCACGCAAGAACACCTGTATTGTTTTAAAAGACCCAATAAATTCAAAAGTATCATTAATCAACACCTTAAGAAGCACAATAATCCTATTAAATATTTAACAGTTCATCCTTTAGAAGCAGTAAATAAGCAGCCTGGTGAATCTCATTCAAAGTGTGTACGATCACGGAAAATAATTGAATTAAATTGGATTAAAAATTTACAGACAGTCTACCCTCTCGGTCTTAATAATAAAATCTTGGGTATTGGTAGTATATCAAGAACCGATTCTGTTAACATTTTGGATATAGTTTCTTAAAATGTTCGTAAAAAACGTCTCATGGGCGTTGAAAAAATCGCAATCAAAGAAAATTTCGAACCAACCATACAAATATTTCGGACCCAATTTCTATTTCAAAAAAACGGCAGACATTATCTTTTTTACCAAGCTCTGTTCTTTACCTGTAAATAAATTAAATAAAATTTTGGAGGATTGCAACACAATTCCATATTGCAGTCCTTAGTATGAAATCGTTCAAATTATAATGGCATATTTTTATCTAAACTGTTTCCCAAAATTGATCGCCTTGAAGATCATAAAAAACATTTTATTAAAATCAAGTATGTCAATAAAGGTTTTGATTTTGTAATTATTGCCGGCATTTTTAACAATCATTCTGTTAAAGAACAAATTCCTAGATATTTTGATAATACTGAACTCCCTCTTATTTGTTATGTTTACAAGAAATCTACCCTGAAATATGTGTTTAATTATAGCCAAATGTGTAAAAATGTAAATATCCGTAATAATACACGTCATGTAATTGCAGTAATTCCGAATACATATATGGCCCCATTTCCCATGTTATAAGAGGAAACCTTAACGTCGTTCGCGACCGAGAGTTAAAATCATTCCTCAGTAAAGGACCTAAATATCGTCCCCCGTCAATTATTAATTGGAATGAGTGTCGTAATATCATCCACGACTCACTTCGGACTTACTGTTTGAAATGGATAAAACGAGTAAAAAATCTTTGTATTCTTTTTTTAATTCAGTAATGAACATAGTTGATATACGTATACAACATTTTAAAGAACATTTCACTCTTAACAACAACCATAAAAACCCTATTTCTTGTATCAAATATAAACTAAAAGAACTAGCCAAGAAATTTGTTTTTGTCCCGGCTGATAAAGCTGCTAATAATAGCGTTATTTTTTTACGTAAATTTCACATCGAGGTTCTGCAAAAGGAAATCACGAATTTACTAACTTTCCAACTGACTCCATTTTTGGAAAACGACATCTGTAACAAATATAAACTTTTAGCTACTTCTTTACAAACAGAACCAAAGACAGTGAAAGTTCCAACAATGTACTGGCTTCCAAAGCTACACAAAACACCTTACAAATGTAGATTTATTTCGTCTTCAAGCCATTGTTCCACTACTAAACTGTCTATTCTACTTACTAGTACACTTGGTACAATCAAAAACCTGATAATAAAGTGATCAAATAAGGCGTTTGAAAATAGTGGAATCAATTACTTTTGGAGTGTGAAAAATTCGTTGGAAATACTTGATACATTGCATGCTTATATTGGTGATTTTTTTAATCTGTTCAAAGTTTTTGATTTTTCCACCCTATATACCACTTTGCCTCATATTCTGATTAAGAAAAAATTCACATATCTAATTAAATGGGCATTTAAAAAGTCAGAATGTGAATACATATGTTCAAACTCTTAAAGGTTATATTTTAGTAGCAACAAACAAAAGAACTATGTCAATTATACATGCTTTGATACTATATCTCCATCGAAACAGCATTTCGTACAAAAATTTAACAATACTTTTAGATATTTGGATGATATATTGGCTCTCAATAATGACGACTTCAGTATGTATACTAAAGAAATTTATCCTGTTGAACTACCTGTAAATAAAGCTAATACTAACAATGACCACTTCCCTTTCCTCGATCTTGATATCTATATCATTCACGGGAAGCTTTATACAAAAAAATATGATAAAAGAGATGATTTTTCATTTCCTATCGTTAATTATCCATTTTGAGATGGTGACGTGTCCTTGTCACCATCTTATGGTGTTTATATATCTCAACTTGTACGATTCGCTCGTGTATGTAACAACGTATTAGATTTTAGCGAGAGAAATTTATGTATTACTGATAAATAATTACACCAGGGTTTTTGTTATCACAAACTAGTCAAAACATTTACTAAATTATATCATCGGTACAAGGACATCATTCGTAAATATAACTCAACATGTTGACATCGTATACGTTCAGGTATTTCACATCCAATATTTTATGGCAGTATTCTTTACAAAGCACAAAAATGTCAGTATTCACCTCAAAAACTAACAAAACCTTTAAACGGACTTATTAAGGAGGGAAATAGTTACGATACTGTTGTCATGTCATAAAATATTGCATATTTTGGCTTTAATATTGATTCACTTAAAGGGTCTTTGCATCGGAATTAAACATATTTATTCCATAACCAGTTGTTGACATGACACGGGCTATGTTCTTCTCATATATTTTATGATGGTATAATACTAAACCCCTAACGGGAGGGATTGTGCTTGATATTCATATGATGAAGATATAATCTTTCAATCAGTTTAATTGAGGTCTGGAGCTGGCATGTCAGTAACTGCTAATAGTCCTTTGTTAATTTATGTATTATTGTCATTTTGTTTAGTTTCTTTTGTTACCTATTCTGACATCGGACTCGGACTTCTCTAAAACTGAGTTTTACTATGCGTATTGTTTTGCGTTTGTTTTTTCTACATGGACTAGAGGTGTATAATTCGGAGTTTAGTATGACGTCCATTATCACTGAACTAGTAACATATTTGTTTAGGGGCCAGTTGAAGGACTCATCCGGGTGCTGGAGTTTTTTCGCTGCATTGACGACCAATTGGTGGCCTCCGGCTGTTGTCAACTCTATTGTCGGGTGTTGTCTCTTTGACACATTCCAAATTTCCATTCTCAATTTTATTGTCTGAAAAGTCAAGTCTTGGTTGATCTTGACTGTAAGTGTTGTCGGTGGAGTTAGGTGTTGGTGGTTAGTGTTGTCGGAGGAGTGAGGTGTTGGTTGTTCGTCTTGTTCGTGTTTTCGGAGGAGTTAGGTGTTGGTGGTTAGTGTTGTCGGAGGAGTGAGGTGTTGGTTGTTCGTCTTGTTCGTGTTTTCGGAGGAGTTAGGTGTTGGTGGTTAGAATTATTGGATGGGTCGGGTGTTGGTGGTAAGCATTTTCTGATAAGGCAGATAAGTCCAAGCTTAGCAAATATAATGCTAGGATAAACATATATATTGATACATATTTCAGGCATCACAATGGCTACTAGTACAACTCTTTGTGGTCCATGTTCGGAACGACATTTAACCAAACTATCAGTATCCTGGTGCTCGGAATGTGAAGAAGCGATGTGTGATGACTGTCAAGAACATCATAAAGTATTCAAAGCAACACGAAGTCACGAACTCATACCAATTGACAAGTACACATCTCTTCCGTCCTTTATTACTGATATACAGCAGTCATGTACCTATCACAATGAAAAATATCAGCAATACTGTGTTGAGCATGCGTTACCTTTTTGCTTCAAATGCATTAAAGAACATCAGAAATGCAACGTCATTCCTCTTGACGAAATCACCAATAACGCTAAGACATCCGGGCAGTTACAAGATTTAGAAACTAGATTGATGGACCTATTACAAAACATTGATAGAATCAAGAAGGACCGAAAGGCTAATTTGGGCAATATTGAAGAAAGGAAGGAGCAACATCTTGCAGACATTCGACAAATTAGAAATCATATAAACAGACATTTAGACAAACTTGAAAAAGAAATGATTCAAGATCTGGAGAAGAAAGAGTGTAAAGGCAAGAAGAGTATTCAGAATATTTTATCATCAGTTGAAGAAAAGAAAAACTTGATAACAGAATATCAAACCAATCTTCAAAGCATCAAACAACATGCTTCCAATCTTCAAACATTTCTAGTAATGAGCAATATTGAAGTGAAGGTTTTTGAAAATGAACAATATTTGCAATCGTTGTTTGAAACTAACAAATTGGACACAGTAGACCTGACTTGTGAAGTAGACCCAGGGGTGCTTAGTATCTTAGGCAGTTTGAAAATGTTTGGATCAATTGAAATTAAAAAGAAGTCGAGTAACATCATTTTAATTAGAGTGAAAGACAGACAAGCACAGTTGCAAGTTACACCAACGAAGACGATTAACGACTTGAATTTGATTCTACAAAAGGAAATTTCAACAGGAGGGGTGAATATTAGAGGTTGTTGCATGTCAGTAAATGGCAAATATTTCTTCACCGACAATTACTCAAGAAAAAAGCTGTATGTCATTACGTCAGATGGTTCCTTCAAATTTGATATGTTGCTAGATCCTAGTTATGGGTATGACATAACAATAATCAATGAGAAAACAATCGCTATCACATCTGGATATTCTAGTGAGAATATCGGAATTGACATAATAGATACTGAGAGCCGAGAGAAAATTAAGTTCATCAACCTGCCTTCTCGCCCATTTGGAATCACATGTGATCACAACTTATTGTTTGTCTGTGTTGAAGGACGAGGTATATATAAAGTAAACACTGTAGATTATACTACGTCTCACGTGATCAGTTGTAACTTATCGGGATTGGCATACGTATCTGTATTCAAGGACAAGATATACTACACTGACTGCTATAATCACAGTGTAGTTTGTTGTGACCGTGATGGATCATGTGTTTGGACTTTTAAAGGTACTTCAGTATTGAAAAACCCGAGAGGAATCACTGTAGATAACGGGGAAAACGTGTTTGTTGTTGGAGAGACGTCGTCGAATTTGGTCATTTTATCAAACGATGGAAAACAACATAGGAAAATCCTGACAGACGAAGATGGTCTCCGTGAACCGTCAGCTATTTTCTTCGATAAACAGACCAGTAAACTTCTTATTGCGAACAAAAAAGAAACTGCATTTCTTTACAACTTTTCATAAACTGATGTGAATTATATGATGATCATCACAAATCACCAGCATTTTTCGATGAAACGCCGAACATTTAAACCAGGATAAGCTCTTTCTACACACATCAGAAAAAAACAAATAAATTATTTTTGCCAATATTCAAACAACGTCAAAATCAAGATATGAATGTCACTGGTTTGTAAATAAATTCAAGTAATGTAAGATATCAATATGTATTGTACGAATATCATTCTGTATTCAAAGCAAAGTGAGACGTTGAAGAAAAATCATAATAATTGTTTACACCTCCGACATATGCTTATAAAAAGTATACAGAAAATACTTATCTAAGATATGCGTTTTCCCGTATGTGACCAACCGAATATACTTATTCACGGGTATGTACTCAAAAGAGCAACACGACGGGTGTCACATGTGAAGCAGGATCTGCGTACCCTTCTGGAGCATCCGAGATGATCCCAAGTTTTTGGTGGAGTTCGTGTTGCTTAGTCGTAATTTATTTATGTTGTGTTTTGTGTACTATAGTGTGTCAGGATGTGTTTTGCTTTTTTAGCCATGGCATTGTCTGTTTATTTTTAATTTATGAGTTTCAATATCCCTTTGGTATCTTTCACCCCACTTTTTTAAATAAGAATACACTTGTTGCACTTTATATTTCGGTTATAATTATCAATGACTCACTAAGTGTTACATTTTACGTCATATCTAAAGATAACATTTACAGTTAATTTGTTGATTAAAGTTCAATTGAAAATGATATGTCTCAATATTTCTGTTTCGGTAAAAATAGATTGTACTTTTGTCCAGTCGTTGTTTCCCTAAAATAGAATTTTACTCTTTTCCAGTTGTTGTTCCGGTAAATATCACCTGCAATTATGTCATGTCGTTGTTCCGGTTGAATATAAACTGCTATATCTGCGTGATTTTTCCGGTAAAATTAAAATGACTCTTGTCCTGTAGTTGTTCGGGTTGAAGTAACTGAACACTTGCCCAATCAATGATTCGGTAAACAGATATCAAATTCACGCAAACCGTTCTTCTGGTAAACATAGATTGAACTGTTGTCAGATCATTGTTTAATACAACAGATATTGTACTCTTGTCTGGTCAATGTTCTGGTGAAAAATATATTTTCTTTTTTTGTTGTCAGTTGATGATCTAAAAAAAAATAGATAATTAACATATTTTGCTAAAAGAAATTACCACTTCGTTCCATTTTTTATTTTATTTTTACCGTTTCCTAAAACATTGTTATAAGGTAGTCGGCTGTAGTTGGTTTGCATTGTCCAATGTTTTTGGTGGAGGACGCAATCGTATTTGTTTTGTGTGGTCTCTTAAAATGTCAAGTGTGTTTATTAATTGCAGTAATTCTTTAATGTATTATGAAATTAGATAAACTTAATTTCAATTTTATATATTCTTAACAAATGAATATATTATAGATAGATGAATATAAGAAAATTCAAAACTGGATTTCGAAGAACGATTTCTTTTGCAACACCAATTTTACCGCTATATTTAAATCAGTTTTAAAATGTATTCTTGGAGAAAGAAAGAACAATCGGAAAATAAAGAAATAATAAGAAATTGCCTTGTTTGTCATGTATGTGAGGATCAATTTGACAGTTTTCTTCTTTTTAAAATGTTTTAACTATTTAAATACTGAAGGTTGACTAACTACACTACTAAAGGGCACAATGCAGCCTGTATCGTTAACATAACTTTTGGCTCTTGAATTTCGACTAAAATGTGAAAAATTAAATTGAGAATGAAAATTGGTAATGTGTGAAAAGTGACACCAACCCGACCAAAGAGCAGAACACAGCTGTCAGAGGGCCACCAATGGGTCTTCAACACAACGTGAAAATCCCAAATTAGGAGACGGGCTTCAGCTGGCCCTAAACCAAAATGTATACTAGTTCAGTAAAGATGGAAGTCATACTAAACTCCAAAACATATAAATGAACCAAACCAAACGATAACAAAGGCCCGAGTCTCCTGACTTTGGACAGGTTAAAAATGATTTATGATCTACTTCATTTTTTTGTTCCTCCTCTTTACAAACAATTATTCTTATTACTATAATTTTTGTTTGTCGATATAAATTTCAAGATAATGAAAAATATTGAAAAAGGATATAATAGTGATTTCCACCACCAATTATCCACTTTGCATAAATCCGTACATAAGATGTAATCTTTGAGAAAAAAAATCAATAAAGAATTGATTCAGTAATATCGGAATCATGGTTAAAGAAGTTTCCTTCTTCTGTTCTAAATGATTGCACAAAAGAATAACAATAATTGAATAATATTTTTAACAAAAGATTAAGCCTGTCTTGCGTATTTCTATCTCATGAATATCTACCGTTAATGCTGGCATTTTGACAATGGAGGAAAATAACGTATACTAAACTTTATTATGTCTTACTGTATGCAAACACTAATTGCTACCCTTTTCAATTGTGCATAATACAATTTTCATTTCCCTCAATTCACCTCTGTCATCTAATTTTGATGAAGAGTTATAAGCCGTACATATATAAAAGGTATTTTACAAGATTACAGACTTTAAAATTTATAGACTTGCAGTTATATTGGTTTTACACAGTTTGCAATCTAATTTTAAAATGAGAAATCATTAAACAATGATACACTACAAAAGAAATCATTTAACGAAGTCACATACAATAAAATATAACTATTCAGGATCAGATAATAAAATATTTGGTTACAACAACAAACGATTAATGTCATTATACTTCTGTTTAGAAAATATATAAAGGTATTGTCCCATTGTATGCATTCATGTCTACGGTCATTTATTTAAATAATATTGTCTGATTTTATGATCTTCTACTGAGTATCATAATGGCTTTGTTATCTTATGCAGTAGCGTAACGTTAAATTCTGTCTAGTGTTACGCAGTGATATTATGGCACTTTACAAGACAAATGCGTAAAATTGCATGTTATATGGAAGTTCATATCATAAGAAAATGGCACAAAATCAGGGAAACAGAGATCGTAGAATGAAACATAAAGACCCATATTTAATCTTGCATGGGTTTTTCATAACGAAAGTAAAAGTAGTCACGTGACCCGAGTCGCCACTGAAGGTCGTACATTACATGTTCAACTCAAAAGTCCAGCGTGTTAAAGGAATCTTTGAATGTGAAACAAAGTATCAATAAATTCGGTTGAATGTATATTTTCTAAAAAATGCTATCCAAAGATTGAACTATACTGTCTTACGGTAAAAATTAATGTAAATCCAATGAAAAATGTGATTTTTTTAACGAAATCCCCATTTGATACTATGATATTTCAATGATATGAACGCATACCAGTGTTTGGATAGCAGTTTTCTTTTAAAAGAGATATCAGTCGTTTTAAATCATGTCCAATCAAGTAAATCCATCTTCAGTAACACACTGGACTTTTTAATGTTTTAATCGTGTACCGTTTACTATTGTTTTATGTTCATTATCAACAAACGCTTTGACGACGTGATCGGCTGTACTCAATAGCGGACAAAACTCCGGAAAAGTATTAATGCCGTGTATTTTAAACTACGGACTTCAAGTTATGTTTTATTTGTATTGACTAATACTGGAGATATATTTGTTCATTTATTTATTAATTATATATTTTTGCAACTTTTATCCTTGTCAGAATAAAAAAAGAACACGGTCATGTGTAAAGTGTAATGTCGACTGCCAAAATATTATAGCCCATCCGAGATTCTCATAATGACTATTATCAAAATACAAAATAAAGATATCAAAACTTTCTCTACAAATGCTTATAATTGCTTGAACATGAAGAAGCTATAAATGTCCAAGAATCACATTTCATGAAGCACCCCCTTCCAGGGACTTTCTATACTTAGTATAGAAAGTCCCTGCCCCTTCCCACCATGTAATAAAATGTAAACTGAAAAAACGAAGTCCATTCATCAGTAAAACTGGGTATTCAAAATAAAAATTTTAATTTTGCTAGATATTATCTCACATATATAAATACAATAGCTAATCTGCCCAATAAAAAGAATAATCTATGAAGGTCAGGGAAGACTCTTAATGTTCAGCTGTAAAAAAAATTCTTCATTTGTGAAATATAAAAAGAAATCAAAATTTGGCTGTCGCACTGTCCCAAATTTCGTAAAAACTCTTTTTTCTTAATTGTGCAACACCTACCTTATTCCAGTCACAATTCTTATTTGTCTGGATATTTGCCTGGATTACAGTTGACCTGCATTCATATAGCATGCATTTTTCAGACAACAAAATTTTCAGCAGACACCACTCTCAAAGTCAGTGTGAAAAATTATGTACTTTGGTAAATGTTTGAAGTGGCAGAAATTGGTAATGGAAAAGAGAATATTGGGAAGAATCACGCAACTATGCTAGGCTCTCAGAATATACAAATTGTTTGCTGTACTATAAAACACTCCCACAACTGGTTCAGTTTGTTTTTTTAATTATATTTTCTACTCCACTGATCCAGAAAATTTACACTGCTCAAGAATTTCAATAACACACTGAAATCATGTTGTCAATATTCAAGTGAAATTTATGAAATTGCTCTATGCTGTGTTCCACTACTCTACCAGGTTAAAGTTTGAGCACTCACAAACATGTTTTACCCCACCACATTCTTTATGTGCCTGTTCCAAGTCGCAAGCCTCTATTGCAGTGGTTGTCGTTGGTTAATGTCCGTCTTATGGAATTACTATTACTGTAAATTCAGAAATTATTGATTGCATTTATTATTGCAATTTTGTCATTTTAGACTAAAATGCGATTTCAATTTTTGCGATATTGAGAAAAATCCTGTTTAATTTATATAAAAATTTTCAAAATGTGAGTTTAAATTATTGCGATTATAACCATGTCGAATTTTTCGTAATAACAAAAACATCGCCATAATTTCTGAACTTACAGTACATTTACCAGACTCAGGGTCCTTTTATAGCCGATACTACAGTATGGGTTTTCTCATTTTTGAGGGCTTTACAGTGGCTAAGTATATTTGCTCACATGTACATCTACGTCATTTAAACTCTTGTGGGTAGTTGTGTCAATGGCAATGATAAGACATCTCATTCTTTGCAGTATATGGAGGACAAAACATAATTTGTTTTGTTACTCAGCTTAAACAGGATAGAAATGAGGCAGGCGAGAATTCAAATTATACCTGTGTTTATGTCTTGTACAAATATCTTTTTATTTTATTTTGAGACCATGTATATATATATATATATATTTAATCTACAATGTATATTTAGCAATAATGCACCTTGATCAACTTAACAATCACACCATTGACATTATAAATGATTGTTAGAGATTCTTTCAGTGGCAGTCATATCACCTTATTATTTTCATGCCCAACCAATATCAATAAAAAAAGTACAAAGTGGATATACTATAAACAGGAATCATTGGTATGGGATTTTCTCATTGTTGAAGGCTGTTCAGTGACCTGCAGATGTTTTTTAAATTCCTGTGTCCTTTTGTCTCTTGTGGAGAGTTGTCTCATTAGCAATGATACCATATTTTCTTATTTTTATAAGGAATGCAGATCATAATATGAGAAATGTCTAGTCATCATACTGTTCATACAAGTACGGGGGTTAGTAGTTGATGATATGCTTTTTGTTTCTAGTATTTACCTTTTTGATACAACATATACATGAAATACCATTTTACTCCGTATAGAAAAGAAAATCCATAGATTTCTATTTCAAAGACCTC